ACATTCTCATGTCTGGCCTTCTTAAGGATGGCAACCTCCTTCTTAACTTTGTCTTCGGGATTGCCCAGTTTACCCAATCGGCGGCGTTTCGAGTATCTTTGGACAATTTTAATGGCCACTTTCTTTCCAGTCCTCATATGGCGACCAAGTTTCACCTTCCCGTGCTCACCTCGGCCCAGTTCATCGAGGATTTCGTACTCGTTAATTAACTTGTTGCCAGTGAGCATGTCGCGATCGACCTCAACTGTGTGCGTTCTGTAAAAACCATCAGAAATAAGTTTCTACTAATATATAGCAAATAAAGCCAGTAAAGCCACGCAAAACGTTTTGTCATAGCTGTAAAAATATTACAAATAATTCAGCGGGTAGCACTTACTCTTTGGGTTCTTGAAGATGAGTAGGATGGAGGTACGAAAACGAAGAACGGCCTTCTGCAGATTTTGGTGGGGATGGATTAGCGGGACGAGAAGAGAAAAGGCCAGGGCTCGATATCGGTGTGTGACCAGTTGTGCGCCAGCCTTGGCCGCGAGAACCAGCGTCACTAGTAGACCATGATGGACCGGAAGATGATGAAGGGTAGGGTGATGGGTAGGAGCTGCGGGAGCGGAGGTGGGGTTGAATGCGGGTGGGGTGGACCTGTGATTGAAGAACGGCGTAAGATTGGTCTGGATAAATCGGTAGGTCATTCACAGAGTGTCCAGCTCGGTGCGAAAGAGTAGGATGTTCCGTTAGAGGGCTAAGGGGGGGATTAGATATGTCGGGAGCTTTTGGAACCATCGAATGTTGCGATGGGGATGTCCCAAAGTAAGAACTCGTATAGTCGGTCGTAGCAGGTTCCAGACCAGCATGATCTGCTAAGGAGAGTAATGAGCTTGATGAAGTGTTGGTCGAAGAGCTCCGTGATGCATTTGAGGAATGCGGGCGAAATGGGAATACGTGAAGCCTGTGGGCTAAGCCACGGCGTTCCTCTGGCCGGCCGTCAGGTTGTGTGCCCTTCTGGCGGGTTATCCCGCCCGACATCCGTCCCGACGTGGAGCCACTTGTGAGAGAGAATCGCCGCGACCTCGATCTCCGAGCAGGGGTATCAAAGGCTTGACGTTCAAGGAGGGTAGAACTATCGAGGGATAGCTGTGAACCTCGTCGACTTCGACTAACCGAGTTATTCGGTGAGTCGGCGGAGGATTCCTTAGTACGACCCATCTTTGCGCAGTAACCGTAACCGCTTTGAAGTTACTTTCTTGCCCTCTCAGATATTTCTTAGTCCCGATTGAAAAACACTTCCAATCCTCTCTCCGTCGTCGTCCTCGAGGAAATGTGCAGGCTGATCCGAGTCTCTATGTATGGGAAACGACTACGGATAGAGAGACATGATAAAATACCACCGTTCCTTGTGAGCGAACCAGCAGGTGAGTGTTATATCCTCATCCCTTATAATTTGGTTGCTCATCGATAAGACGATGGAAGTTGTTCTCTTTCGTTGCGAGGGGGGAATTAGGCCAGCTAATCTAGCCCTGCAATCGAAGAACCGAGGATTCACTTGCACATTTAAAGGGTGGGCGAGGGACGAATGCGGGATGTCCGTTTCCTGGCCGTCGGGAGGAAGGCGATAACAGAGGAGCTGTCAGGGAGAAAATGGAGGGCGAGTGTCGCAGGAATGATTGTGGATGGGGAACAACAAGCACTGCGATGTGGCAGGGAGGCAAAATGGCCAAAAGGACAGATGATACAGTGGGGCCCGAAGGAACGTCGATCAACAAAGATCGATAAAACGAGAGATTGGAAGGCGAAGAAGGATTGGGAATCCGGTCGATTCGGTAGGGAGCAAGGAAGGATGCTATATAATTGCTGAGCACTGGGAACTCAGAGAGGGGATGAGAGGAGCCGTGAGGAGGATGGAGGAGGAGGAGGAGGAGTTGAGTTTGGCGAAGTCTGGTAGTGGTCGATATGCACGCAGTATCGTAAGGTAAATAGAATACCTGGGTACGTATGGGGGAGTTACGGCTGGGTGTAAGCTGTATTTAATCCGTATGTAAGCAAAGCTACTCCCTACTGCCATGTGTTGTATGTACAGTACATACATGTACAACGTTCCAAAAGTTCCTGGATGGGACGGTGCCTGGTAGCATCGGCCGGCAAGCAGCAAGCAGCAAGCAGCAGCAGGAACACACAATTGGAGGCCCAAATGGCAGTCGTGCTTCATCACCAACAAAAGGGTGGAGGGAGGGTATTATTGTTACCGCTAAGTCTTATCTCGTTTTCAGGCCGCCCAACCCCCGTCGCCGCCAGAGCGCAGAAGTGCCAATGCCAACCGGGGCCGGCAAAGTAGCGAATGGGTGAAAGCCACTGGCAGCTCGAAAGTGGGCAAGCCTACTCCGTACGGAGTAGGGAGTACTAGCGGCTGTGGCAGCACCCGCAGATTGGACCCTCTTGGTACCGCGCTTACAGTACCCTAGTAACTTAGCTGGTGAATACCTGATGCCGCTGGCCATTTGTTACTGGAGTGCCTGGGTATTATTGGCTGTGGCTATATACCAGGTAGTATTTTACGAGTATTCTTGATCAAATCCCCCAGTTAAAGTATTTATGGCTTTTTATCTGGAAATTTTTTGTTGTTTGTCTTGTTTCTCGACTCTGTGTGTTTCTGTTAGCCCAATGCCCCCCATGTCAAGCGCCACCGCAGTGTCCGGTGTCTGGTAGGCCTGAAAGACGGGCCAGCATATCAGGGAAGCACTGACCATGGTAACAACTTGTGTGGACGGTGCACACTGGGTTGGTTGCCTTGGACAAGGGCTCTCTCTGGCTCTCTCACTCTGTCCTGCTTTGGCTTGAGAAGAGCGGGCAGCCCGCATACATAGTACGAAAGATCATTATCCTTGCAGTTTTTGCGGGCTAGTGGTTTTGGCCCGGCTCGTTTTATCAGGGTGAAAAGCGAGGAGCTGTATCATATATAGCAATTTAATCCTCTGTTTTGTTCCTCTCTCATTGCTGGAAAAGGGAAAACAGGATGGGAACAAGGATGGGAAGCGAAGCTGACAATGCGTGCAAAACAAGTCTGGGAGGTTGGGCACTTGGGCTGCTGGCACTCGGGTACTCGGGCACCTGGGCCTCCCAAAACTCGATTCATATCCAAACGAAGCCAAAAGGGGAGTCAAGCGATGCAGGTTGCTGAAGATGGAAGCCCTAGCAGGGGTCACTTGGACCAGGTATCAGGATGGATGTTTTGCATAAATAATCATTGGGGTTGGCGCGAAAGTTTCCATTAGCTTCTTAATCTTCTTATCTTCTCCTGTTATCTTAGACATCACAAGTACGGAGGTTAGTTAGTTTTCACGCTTTTTACACTGCGTCTCTGCATTCATTGCTTTATTTAGCTCCTTGACAAAATTTGCCCCCTTCCTCTCGGCACAGTATCAACCATCAACCATTTTGAGCCACCCGTCATCGCTGTGTTTTATGAACGCGGAGGCGATGAGAGTTAATTGCAGCCAGTAACATGGCAACCCTCAAGCCCTGACTCGCGAAGGCGGTTGAGTATTAGCTGAGGTTCAATAATAGACAGTTGGCCCGGGAGAAGCGCGGGGCTAACACGACAACGCGGCACGCATTACTGCATTGGGTAGGTCGGGCAATTGGAATGTTAAGTATTGGATAAGATAGTATCTCAGTCGTGCTCGTTGCGTGTAGGGGGGCAAGTTCGCCAAAGCGCGGTGCGTCCCTCAGCGGTTCGGGAGACTGGAGCGCTGCAGTTATTCAATTCAACGCCGTCAGGATTCCCCACGGCCTGTGGTGACCTTCAATCAGCTCCTGTCGGCGCCCCTCGTCTCCAACCAGCAGTATGTGGATAGCACAACGCTCGCAGCCATCTGGACGACGACATGCGGTGACTCGCTGCGGGCCTTCTATACGGACGTGGAGAGTGCCTGCGGTACTGCTATGCATCCCTCCCCCGGCGAGGTTTCAGACCGTTCAGAGCTTCCTGGATCCCTAGTTTGGGCCTACAATGTCTCGTGTCTCGTGTCTCGTGTCTCGCTAGCGGCAGCGATTACTGTTACTCGGCCGTCTGAACGGATGCTGAGATGGGCTCTGACTGTGCTCTGAAATAGTCGCATAAAGAGGGCTGTCCAGCAGCTTTTGATATCATCTCGTTGGGCCACGCGAGTTACGAGGCATCAATAGCATCCCTAATACGACCCATTTACTGTGTATGTCGAGCAGTATCTGTAGTGCCAGCACTGATCTTTCGACAGACGAATACAATTTTGGCGGGGCTTCCGAGTCAATTGATTCAGTTCGGTTTAACCCCACATGAAGGCGGTCATTTACAACAACCTAGAGGAGCCTGATATGCAAATACCTAAAGACCCTGATTCAACCCTCCTTGGCCCACGCAGATACAATCCGGAACTAGGCTCTGATCCGTTCCCATAATGTGATAAGAAGAAGCCACCCAACGCCGTAAAAACAAAACAAAGAAAGAAAGAATACCCTTCCAATCACACCGAGATCGTGTCCCCTATCGGGTTGCCGATCCACCATCCTGCAAAACCCTTTAGACCTTTTACATCCATCTCGCGGAAATCGTACAGTCCGGTCGATCGTAGGATAAGATTCTCGCCATCAAAATATGATTCGATGACTCAAGCTCGTTGTATGCCCATGAGTGAGAAAACAAACACCTATAGATACCAAATCAGTATCCTGCCGCATGAATGGTGGTAAGAGGAGTAATACCGGCGAAATCATATGTTGGATAAGGCGTCGTTGTTTCATCTGTCCAAACATAAGGCGTAGAATTGCCAGCAATTCTCCACGGAAGCATTCCTGCTCATTCTCCTCTATGTTGTTTGTAAATGACCGCCTTCATGTGGGGATGCTCTTTGCCGGCAATATCTGTCAACCTTAAAGCACCAAACTCGGGGTCACTGTATTGATATAGGCTTTTGAAGGGATGGTAATCGGCGACACTGTTCGTGGTAGTTAGAATGAATTTACTATAGAGAGAGGATATATTTGAAGGCAAGCCTACCATCCCCCATTCCATGGCGTTGGGGTACCCTCGAACCATTTTCGATTCTCACAACGGCATGTATAGTGCACCAGGTAATCTTCAAGAGCGTATGCACGATCAAGAGGGCGAACAAAATCCACCGGTGGGATCAAACTGCAGTGCGGCCTTTGCACTGGGGTATGGTCCAAGGTCAAACTCATCAAGTTCTGGAACGCTGGGACACGCGGCGAAGAAGGTGGGGCTTGAGGTCTGATTTCTCATCCAAAACCATGGGGAGGATGGAAATCTTCAGATTCTTGAGCTCTGATGCGCTCAATTGGTGATCTTGGAGCTTTTCAACTTTTGGCTTCGATATCGAACAGAGACCTTGCGGCGTCGGAGGTGCTCGGCAGGTGTCGCCTCTTACGTTTGTTTTGAGGGTGCGGGCAACACAATTGAAGGTTAAAAATGAGTGT